GACAAACGGACATGGCTAAATCGACTCCGATCATCATGCTTATCATTTATATATATACATTCTATAGGATCTCCAACGTTTCCTGCTGGGTGTTACAAACTTCGTGGCAAACTTAATACACAATGATCAGGGTATCACTTATAATATATATTTTTCATATAGAAATTATGAAAAGCGAAAAAATTACGATAACTACCTCGGTTTCAATAGCTTCTGCTTGGTCCGGATTAGCCATGAACTCTTTTGCCGCTACCTGTCTGTCTTGCCATTTAACTTTGTAAACTACTCCAAAGGAACCATGTCCGATTTTCTGTAATAAATAGAATCATGTATATAAATGTTTTTGGGACAATTTGCAGTATTTTTCACAATATATTTCCACATACTTCTTCGAACAAAAGATCTTCAAAAGATATGATAGGTTTAAACTGCTCCAAACCTTCAGTTATACAAGGCAGATATGTTGAAAGAGTTGGTTTTGAAAGAGTAGGCGAGGGCGATGGTGCATTTATCGTCACCGCTTTGGTTTTTGGCGTAGTCACCATTTGTTCTGGTGTATTACTTGTGGAATCTTCACAATTTAAGGATGGTGAGGATGGAACACCCGCTGTAGCCGTTGTTGTATCATTTTGTGACGAAACATCTTCGACATCCGTTCCAGCAGTCATGTGGTCGGTGATATTTTCCAACTCTGCCATCTGCAGATTACACTTTATTTGGAATAAATGGTGTATGAACGGTCCACAGCTGTTTCGATATAGGATAATGTAGCTGGCGGTTTCAGCGTTGAAACGCAAATTGTTTTGCTTTTATCTTTGTTAACAACTAACACATTCTGGTTCTTCAAATACACATAATTATTTTTATATGTTGCCTTAACTAAATAACGAAAACTATTAGTTTATGTGTTATTACGAGCAAACTACAATCAAATGGAATAAATAAATTAAATTATTAGAAATTAAAGTTACGACAATTTTCAATTAAACTTATTCACTTCTTAGTCGGTTATCAGCTGTCAAAAATGTAGGATGTCATGTTAAAGAACACTTTGAAATTAGTGTTTAAAGAAATGTGCGACATCTATCTGAATATAGAGAAACGTCAGAGAACGTCAAATTAGACCGTATGCATAGACCAGAGAACGTAAATATAATATACGTTCTCTGCACAGACCGTGGGAATAGTAAAGTGCATAACTTTTTTACCGTGCATTCTTACATTCCGTTTTACCTATAAATTCGCTACCTGAGAAGTTTTCCTATTCGATTTTTTGTTATAAATACCATCGCTAAAATATTCAATAATTCAATAAATAGAGACAGAGTGGACAAAGCATTGCAACTTGTTATTTACCAAGCATTGCAATCTCAATCCATAATCAACAAAGGCCAAAGGCGAGAACAACTGAAATACGACGAGAGTAATTTTGTCGTTTTCTTTAACGCTTTGTTTTAATAACCAACGAAGCGGCCCTCACTCATTCGTCGATAGAGACTTATAATTATTATCAACTCAATTCGTGAATCAGCTTTACCATCGAGGTAGATCATTCAGTCTTTGTGTGCCAGCGATATATTGTAGTTGATGTTTCAGTTAAATTGTGCATTGTTCCAGATATAAAACAAAGTGTTCCGTACGCAAAAGCTGTTCAAAATCTGAAAACCTTAGTGCCTTAGCAACTGATACCTGCCGAGTAGAGCAAAATGAAATCGTCACCAATAGCAAAAACTTTGCTGTCGATAGCTTATTTTATAATCGTCATTAATTGTGTTTTGGGTAGCAGCTCTTCGTCAGGCGACATAGACCTAAGTCAAATAAATGTTAACGACCTAAAGCAAAGCTTACCTGCAGAGTTTGCCAATACGAATTTGACACTGGAAGACGTTAAGTCTCTAGTCCGCGACAAATGTATTGAAGTAGCTGGCAAAGAAGAGGGCGAAACAGCATATACTGATATTGTAAACGCTGTATCAACGCTTTCCGAATGTGCTACAAACATACTTAACTACACTGCACTGCAAGCGGAAATTGAAAAGGCAAGCCCGGATGGTGAATTGGATGTTGTTTTTAATAAATATTGCAACAAACAGCCCGAGGCGCTAAGTTGCATTAGTGAATTCAACAATAAATTAGCGGTGTGCCTGGACAAAGAGGAGAAGGAACATCAAGATGTATTCATGCGCATCGTTAAAAGTCTACTCAGTTTCATATGCCACAAGGGCGGTGATCAAATAGCACTATTTATAGCAGAGAAAGGACCAGAGTGTCTGGATTCAAAGAAGGATGATATTCAAAATTGTATCAACAGCACATTATCTGGTTATATACCGAAAAATGGAATTGATGATATCAAATCTTTGCCAAAATTCGTAATGGGAATGAAACAATGTGGAGAAATGGAGGAGCTAGAAAAGTGCATTGTGCAGAAGTTGGAGACCTGTAGTGAAATCACACCAGCTAACATTGTGGAATCAATGTTCCGCTTCATTAAAAACGAAACTATCTGTCATAATGCACCCCGCGTAGCAAAACAAGCATCAATTACAAGTGGTGTGGACAGTAGTGCAATGACTGGGGGCGTAATCTGGCTGATAGCTGCACATTTATTGTACCAAATTATAAAACGTCGTGTGCAGACATAGGTTGTTTCATACACATATCGCAAATGCTAATTCAAGCAAATAGTAGTATGGTGTGTAAAAATACCCCTATCATTCGTGTATATATTATATGCACACCCTTTAAATGAACGGTTTTCAGAAGTTTATTTTTTAATTTTTTTTTACACCAGCCGATATAGTAATTGCAAAGGTAATGCGGATGTATTTAGTGCATTAGTTAAATGTTTGTAAATGGGGTATTTGAAAATTTGCGTTACTTGTTGCAAGAACTAAAATTGCCGAATGCATATTAATACAACATTGTGTAATATTATAAATTGGAATCTCATGAGGCACAAATACCCCTTATTCTACTTTAAACATATTTGTTTAGGTTCTTACTTGTCTAAGACTTAAAGTTTTTATTTACGCTAAAACCCATAAAAGTAAACCTTAATAAGGGTATTTTGTCGAAATCACATAAAAAAATCTCATTTTCTACTTTGAAAAACAAAGAAATGTTCGAAAATTTTAAAAATATTATTGATAATTACAAGGAAAATATGTCATATATAACTACGTAAGGTCAATCAAAATATATTTTGTATTGAACCAGATAGCTGCGATAACACACTAAATGTCGTGAAATAAATTAAATCGAAGTACAAGCAAAATACAATAAATGTTATTAATGCTTATTGTATATGATTGTACATAGGTATAATGTGCGAAAAATATTAAGTGTGTATTATAATTAAGTAGATGGTTTGTACTTTTGTTAGCAACTACATATGTATGTAAGAATAATATAAAACGAAGTGGTTACAACATGTAATTGAAATTGAATTATTTCAATAAAGCGAAATACAATATATAAATACTATATACTTAGTTTCTTTCAAATGTCGTAATTTTTCAAGTGTCAAACCGCCGCTTGAGAAAAAAAGTCGTACTTAGCAAAAGTTATAAACATTGTTAACATATATATGTGCATTTGTACCAATTTCGCTAACTAATACATATCCCACATTTGGCAAACAGTTGCTAAAAAAATTATTCGCATTAGTTACTTGGCTTTTTCTGCTATTCCATTTTCTGTAATGACCCGCATATAATTTCTACTGTTTGTAATTTGAACTTTGCTCAGGTTTGATTCAGATCCGCGTTTTCTCACTTACATATTTACAACATCGGTTCGTATGTGTGCGCTGTGAATTCCGCGCTTTCAAACTGGTTCGTGCTCGTACTTGCGTTTTTATGTAATTTTCGTCATTTCCATCGAACGACTTACAAATATACATACCATATACCTTCACACAGTACGAGCATTTTAAAATTTTGCCATACTAGATTTATTTTCTAATTCTATGACTTCGCAAGATATTTACATATGTACATATATAAGAAAAAAAAATATTTACATATATTATTACACTCTCGCAACATGTTACTGCTACAGAGTTTAATAGTTTTGTTCATCTAACGGTTGTTTGTATCACAGATATCGAGTTATAATACATATATGTAAATGATCAGGATGACGAGACGAATTGCAAGCGTTAACTTGAGTTAAAATTGAGATATCTTGATGAAACTTGGTACACATACTCCTTGGCACACAAGGGAGGTTGGTATTGCAAATGGAAAACGGAATCAGATCATTGCCACGCCTACAAAACACCATTAAACGAAATATTTTAAAGTGCCATAACTAAGTCGCAAATTAAGATATAAAACTGTAATTTGGTACAGGAGAACGCAGTAGCCAGCGGCAACTGTGGGTTAAACATTTTTTTAAAGTGGACGTGACTCCGCCCCCTAAATGGCTTAATGTACCTATTTTCCAAACCGCTTAAGATATATCAACTTAACTTGCTGAGAAAAAGTTATTTTTTAGTTAATAATAAAAATCGGATAATAACCACGCCAACTTCCCATATAATGGTTATGCTGAAAACTACTAAAAGTACCATAACTCACTGAATAAATAAACCACAAGCAATAAACTTCACCACCAGGTTGGTAAAGAAGGGCTTTATAGGATCCGGTGTGAAAATTGGGCAAGAGGCTTGGCACCGCTTTCCTTTGGGTGAATGCCTACTACTCGACCGATTTCAACCAAATTTGGTGTGTGAGATTACCCAAATATTAGACACTGCGAAAATGGGTGAAATCAGTTGACAACCACGCCTAATTACCATATAACAAACTTTCAAATTCCGTCTGATTCTTTCACTTTACAGTATACGCATCAAACATTAATAAAGTTATCAGAATAAAACTTTGCACAAATAGTGCCCTCAAGGTATTTAATTTTATTTCCAAAAATTGTCGAAATCGCACTATAATTTGTGTCAAAAATATGCCTAACATAAATATTTTCGAACCACCGGTTTACTTTATACCGCATCTATCGGTCAATATGCAAGAAATCTTAGTAAAATTCAGAAAGAATCTTTTTTTAATAAGAGTGTATCCTCTTTCCTTAAATGAATGCAATCACGTCGATACTTTCCTCAGTTTGAAATAAAGTTTTGCCAAATCCTGAAAGTGTTCCTCCGCCTCTGTTCCTTGCAAGTTGCAAGATTATGAAATGTTCGGTTACACCCGAACTTAGCACTTCCTTACTTGTTTTTCATCTGTGGTTTTCATATTAAATATGTTATCTCATTTACTTGAATTTCCGCTATTAAAGGCGTCCATATGTATGCATATGTGTATTTATTTCGATAATATTTTAGTTGATTAAACTTTAATTTGAAAACAATCATATATTTAAATATTTACGTACATACATACTTATGTTTTATATCAAACCTTCACAATCCCATTGGGAAAGTGCAACAGAGCTTACAAAGCGAGGCCGGCGGTGTTTTGACATTTATTAGCAACTTTAATTTAAAGCTGTATTGATTTATTTGTTATATTTCCAATTGGGTTCATATTTATATTATATGTACGGATGTAAGTGAGAATGAATACGCAAATATATTTTTATTTGTTTATAACTGTTTACTAAAATTGTTTATAATATTTAAGCAGCAACATACTTATTCATATACATAGTCGTATGTGCAGTCGCCGCGCATTGTGGGAAGTTGTACTTTATAATACAAAATATCTTGAATTGAACAGATTTCTCGGGAGGGAATTTCGTGTCACCAGATGTTTCTACATTTACTAGCAGCTGTGGAAATTTTAAATAAAGAAGTTAACTCGTGTGGGCGGCAAATGAAAATTCGAAGAGTGACGGATAATTGTTTGCTGAACAAAGTAAATAACATGCCCTACATTAATTAACTGAGAAGAGCTTGTAAAGTTTTTGTATGTATAGTAAATAATTTTTACTAATACTACTAATCAAACAATCGCGATCCCCAATGTCCTCTGGTGGCAAAGCCACTTCCATGCTTTATCACGACAAATCTGTGAAATGTTGCTGAACTTGAGCAGAAGACTGTGACTTGGAAACTTGACCGGCAGAAGGATGAATAATAAAGTGAAGGATGAAAAAATGAATTACTATTAATATTTTATAATATTTTTTTTGTGTATGTTTTATTTTTGAAGCAAATTATACTTGATTGCAAAAAATATTTGCCATGGGATTAATTTTGTGACGCAAATATTTATATATTGTATATAAACATATCAGTAAATTGGTATGTACTGCATGTATGCATTGAGTCATTTAAAATTTTTTTAGCAAAACTTGTGTATGTATATATCTCGAATTATATAGTAGTTTTTTTTCCAATATAATGTGATTTAAAGACATACTACAATACAAAAGTATAATTACTCATTCTAACCTACATAAATAAAAATATATGTACTTATGTACTTACATATGAAAATACAACAAGCAAGTACATGTGTACGTAATTGGCAACCGTTAAGAGATGTAAGTAACAAATCAAAGTTCATTCTATTTTCAAGCGAATGAGCTCAAATTGTTCTGAACACAACAGTCTACATATATGTTCATAAATACGCTTACAATAACAAAACAAGTCAATAGTTGCATTTAAAATTAATTTCTTCTTAATTGATTTATCATAGAAATAGAATTACACTTTTACCTATAGTTTCATTAAAATTCCCTCTCTAAAGTGGTGATTAAAAAGTAATTCAATAGAAAAATACCTTATTAATAGTAATTGGCTTCTCTAGCCAGACAGCAGCCAATTGAAAATAACTGCTGGTCTTTGGGGAATCTTCTGTTAGCAAATACATACATATGCACCTGCAGATTTAAGTGTTCCTATTTTAGAGCAGACATAGTGGAAAATTTTAGATGGACTTCAGGTATTCACCTACATAAAAATGGTAGGCGGAAAACCTTTGTGTATAAATAATAGCACATAACAGTACTAGGTAATTCTTTTCTTACATACTTGTGTCCATGTGTAAATATTTGTGTTCGCGCCTCCTACTTACACGATATGCTTTTATTGGTGTGCAACAACTGTGTGACACATGATACTTTTAAGCGCCGTAGGTTGCTATTAGGTAAGCATATTATTGGAATAGTTGCGAATAAGACCCGCAGTAGCTGAAAAAAATGTTCGTCAACATAACACTAATTAGTGCATAAGTATGTACATATGTATGTAAACAAGCCAATTAAAAGTGGTTGCATGTGTCCGGACTTGACCTCGACGGCGGCAGGTTCATTAAGTTTCGCACATTTTCCACATCTGGTTTGTTATTTTCTTAATTTTGGTTTCAGATTCATACATAAAAATAAATTTAATCCAAATAAACCACGAATTAACGATTTTTTTCTTTCGAAAAAAGTATATTCTGCCTTCAACATCTCAGTAAAATTAACATAAATACCCATTGAAAAACAAGTTTTAAATCATATAACTCAAAACTCAAGGGAAGTGAATTAAACAAGTCACATGTTTTTATTTTCCGTTAGGGGCTAGCTAACTGATACATTACTAAGATCCGTGTGGTAGTGCACTTGCTACAGTGCTTTCCAAATTGTTAAATGAAATGTTTCCCGTAAAAGCAACAACAAGGATATGGCTGGTATTAAAAATTTGTTCACAATAGCGATCAGCTGTTTCGTTATTTGATATTATCAAATAGATAAGTATTCAAAGTGATTACGTTTTGACAAACTCATATTTTTATCATTTATTAAACAAAATTTTTTATTAGGAAATCGTCAAAATTTGCATCAGTTCATACATATAAAGAAACAAATCAAAAATATGTCTATTCTAAAGAATGCAAGAAGAGCTCATTTAATTACAACGCTCGGCAAATTCGGTAACAGTATTGTGTCAAATAAGGTATATTGCTTGTACTAAATGTGAAGTCTCTTTCTCTAGACCACAAAGCACTGTTGTCATCATCGGCATCTTCATCAGATGCGCCGGCTGCTGCAACACTCAGTAGGAGTTTTTTACAAACTTTACGTTCAGAAACATTTGGTCAACCTACTTATGTGACACATCCACATCTTATAAATGAGGGTGAGCTTGTTATTGGGCAAAATGTGGAAACATTTCGGGAGCGACGCATGCGGCTTATGAGTGGCATGCAAAAATACGCTGAAGATCATGAAGCTGACCAACAAATGAAGAAATCGAATTTGGTAAAATAATTAGCAAATAAATGGTATAATTTTCCTTTGTGCGCTTACAAACCAAAAAACTTTTCAAGGTAATTGTGCCGTCCGCTTCTAAAAAATACATGAGCGATAAGATTCCCTACGTTTTTCGACAAAATTCTGACTTCTATTACTTGAGTGGTTGCCTGGAACCAGACTCTGTGCTCGTTATGTCCATGAACGAGAAAGCAGACATCAAGTCCATATTATTTATGAGGCCAAAAGATAAGCACGCTGAAATGTGGGATGGCGCGCGTACTGGTATTGAGAATGCGCCTGATTTTTTCGGTGTTGACGAAGCATACACAGTGCAACAATTTCCAGAAATTCTGAAAAAACACATTAAAAGCGAAAAACCTCACGTGTGGTATGATATACCCGCCTCAGATCAACAGAGCATAACCAACGATGTTCAAAATGTGGCTGGCGATGCATCAGCGCTAACGTCACCCGCTACATTTATACAAAGTATGCGACTTTTCAAATCGATTTGTGAACAAGAGCTCTTGCGTAAAACGTGCCAAATTGCCTCGAGAGCTATAAATGAGGTAATAAGCGAATCGAGACCTGGTATCTCAGAGCATCACCTATTTGCTGCAGTCGATTATAAGTGCCGCATGAAGAATGCCAACTACTTGGCCTATCCGCCCGTGGTGGCCAGCGGTAATAACGCAACTACAATCCATTACATAAACAATACGCAATTGACCAAAAGTGGTGAAATGTTGCTTATGGATGCTGGTTGCGAATATGGCGGATACACAAGTGACATCACACGCACTTGGCCTATAGATGGCACATTCACACCCGCGCAAAAAGTTTTGTACGACGTATTGCTGCAATTGCAGAAAGAATTGATATGTAAAAGCAAAATTATATGTAATGGTTACTGACCATCGACTCATTATTCCAATTATATGCTTGTAGGCACCTTGTTGAAGCCCGGTGGCGAAACATTGGACGAACTATTCGATACGATGTGCATAAAGTTGGGCAAGTACTTGCAAGAAGTCGGTATCGTGCCCAAGGATATATCTGATGATAACGGTTATGCGCGTGTAAGTGATTTGCGTTTCAATCATTAAAAAAATGTTGTTTCAATATTGTTTGTGCAGGTCGGTTACAAATTCTGCCCACATCATGTATCGCACTATCTCGGCATGGACGTGCATGATACACCCTTAATGCCACGCTCGTTGCGTATGTTGCCGGGGATGGTGTGCACGGTGGAACCGGGAATTTATATAGCACAAGACCGAACGGATGTGCCGAAAGAGTTTCGCGGAATCGGTATACGTATTGAGGACGATGTGCTAATTACCGACGACAATAACGTAGAAGTACTTACGGCGGAATGTGTAAAAGAGCGCAAAGAAATCGAAAATGTATTTTTATCGAAGCGATAATTAAAAAACACTCATTTATAGTAAAAAAAAAAAAAATAATAATTTATACATTGTGGTTGTAATGTAAAGACTTTGCGACAATGCCAGATTAATTTATTCTGTTCTAGTGTTAACCAACTAAAATAAAAGGGTATTATCAGCTAACTAAATAAAACATTTAAAAAAATTGCGTGCTGTATTTTTTCTTGCCAATGAAGATGGACATGCGTGTCATGGCGTCCGCATGCGCAGTCACGTAAGTATGTTCTGGGTCATAGAACTCGGTTACAATAACTGGAAGAGTTGTTTTTGTTAATATTTACTTTAATACTTAACAATCAACTACTTACTCTCTTGTACGTCTTCATAAGCTGAGAAAAGGTTTACAGGTGCAGGTTTCATCTCGGTTAAATGAAGGCACTTCAATTCGCCTAGTATTTCGAGTAGAAACATTATTTCCACTGGAGGCAAATGTGGAAACTTCATGCAAATATCTGAAACCATGCAACCCGAACGGCTAATGCACTCGGTGAGTATCGAGCCCAACCAACGATCTAATACACGCCGATTAATAGTGCCATTCAGACGGACCCAAGCATGGGGCTTCATTACAATAATATCGCTGCAATAGAAATATGCATACAATGCGTCAAATTATACCGTTATGATTTAAATTAAATTGCATATGTCAATAAGGATTACCTCTTGCTTTCCTTTTCCTTGTTCTTGGCTTCCTTACTTGCGCTTTCAAAACGTTTTACAGGCTTCGGCACACGCTTACTTATCCGTTGATCGTCTGCAGAGACTCGCGCAACGTCAGCTAATTTAGCTCTTTTACTGGCACCAGGACCATCAGCATCATCGCTATCCGCTACTTCCGCATTACCACTGGTGCTGGGCACGGCATCGCTTGCGCCTCGTTTAAGACTCACTGTGCCATCGGGTCCCAATTTTTCGCGCTCCAGTCTTTTCAGGTGGAAAGTGTGCACGACCCATGGACGAATGTGTGTTTTATGAACATACATCATGGTGGCAACACCAACACGCTTGACCAGATAATGCTCCGATAGTAGACGCAAAGCGCGCGAAAGAAATTGGGCGTAGGGGAACTCACGCTAAGGAAAAAATATTTGTATTTTATTAATTTACTAATTTTTTGTTTTTAAGAAAAGTAAATACCAGCAAATCCGTAACGGGCACGCCGAGTTTACGCGCTTCAATAAATCGCAGCAAGTCTTCAACATGCTGCTGTTCCATAGCATTAAAGCCTAGTTTACTCAATTTCGGCTTGAGTGCTTCAAAGGTGTTTTCCGTATACTTCCAATGCGATTCACTGCAAACGTAAAATTTAATCAAATTCATGGACTATCTTCGAAGCGCACAGCGCATTTACTTACTCTACTATTTTCCTCAGTATATTTTCACGATCCAGTTCAGTCTCCACCAAAAGTTTGGATATGCACACGTCGTTGTGTGACAGAATATCTTTAAATGTGTTGGGCACAGTTGTCTTGGCTTCCAACTGCAAAGTGGGCAAATTCACTACAAACACATCCTGCGCACGCGCAAGACGCTCCTCTTTGTTTAACGTGGGCTCATATTCATCGTTTTTGTCATTGTCCTCCTCCGCCACATTGAACTGCAGTATTTCGCAACATAACTGATGCCAATCAATTGTTTTATTGATCTTCACATTCGCCGACACACGCCCCAGATCTTTGCGATCATAGGCAGTTTCTTTTTCGCGCCAAAAAGACTCCAACATGCGCACAAGCGTCAACAGATTCGATGATTCCACAGTCACGGAACAGCCGCTCAATGCCAGGTTCAGCAACTTTTGTGGTGGCATCTCAGTCAACTCCCGCAAAATGTTGCGCTTCTCCTGCACTATCCGTTCGATGGCGTTAATGTAGTTGGCATGCGTGAGCACACAGTTGAAGGGGCATTCGATGCGCAGTGTGTCGTGTTCGTCGTCTTTATGCATTAGGCGACTGAAATTTAGCTCCACCTCCTGGTTGAGGTGGTCGAGTGCACAGAAAAAGTGTAGGTGACGCGTGGGCAGTTTGGATATGAAATCGTAGGGGCTGTAGGTGATTTTGTAGCTCAAATTGGCGGGTTGAAACTTAACGCGGACCTGTAAATAAAAAAAAAATAAAAAACAAGAAAAACATTAATTTCGGCTGCGACGAAGCTATAATATAAGTCACAGGTGCATTTCTTATAGCATAAAAGGATCCTTATCTTTATTTTGATCGGACGGTTTGTATGGCAGCTACAAGCTATAGTGGTTCGATCTGATTAAAATGTTTAAAGATTATAGCGTTGGCTTGGACAATCATCTATTCCAAATTAGGTGAAGATACCTTGTCAAATAAAAAAGTATTCCATATAAAAACTTGATTTTGATCAGACAGTTTGTATGGCACTATAGCATGCCCGAAAATAGAGATACAAGTAGATAGATAGATTAATATGAGGTTTTGCACCGCGAACTAGGGTCTATTGTGCCCTCTCCTCTATCACGTGCATTCCCAGAGTCCCAGCACCCTGACAAACTCCAGAAACCTGCTGGGTGCTATTGCGGTAATGTGATCCCTGTCCACATGAATGGAACCGAGGGCAGTGCAATCTAGAATCAGGTGTTCTACTGTTTCCGGCCCTAAGTCGCAGAACCGATTTCGACACATGAGCAGATTCTTGGGAAGTAGAGAACGTATGTCAAATTTGAAATCGATGGCTCAAAAACTGAGGGACTAGATTACGTATAAACAGACAGACGGACATGGCAAAATCGACAGAGCTCATCACGCTAATCATTTATATACTTTACAGCTTCTGCGACGTTTCCTTCTGGGTGTGACCAGATTCGCATTAGCTAAACAATACATAATTGCCAAAGTCGATTTTTGAAGATTCAGAAAATTGCAATCCTAGAACCAAAATTGAAGCGCTCAAATAACGATTTTTGTATATTAAATATCATTGTCTTGAAACCGCATAGTGAAAATAAATTGAAATTTTTACCGGACTCCAGTGTCTATACAATAGAATAACGGTTTTGCCGAAGTAAATAATTGCTCAAACTTTACCTGCTTCTCGTTAGCCTCATTTTCGAAGTTCTTCGTGTATTCCGTTTCGGGCGCATTATCGAAGATACAATGATAGTGATCGAGTATCCGATCCATTGACGACAACGTCTGCCTTTGTTCAGCATCAACAGTCAATATATTGCTTGGAAATTTGATATTACAATTCCAATAGTTTCGCGCCAAACCCTCGGTAATGAAGAACAATTGTCCGGCATTGGGCGAACGTAGCTCTACAAAGTTTTTCGCTGGCTGCGCGTTGCTAGTTGATGCCAGGTCCATAAATTCCTCTTCGGGCTTCATAAAAACACCCAGTGCGCTCTCAAAGAAGCCAAAGAGAGAGTCGTAAACGAAATATGGTATGCGCAAATAAAATAAACGACGTTGATATTGCACCGACAGCGAGTAAGCCGGGCTGGTTAGTTGATTGGGTAGCTTCTCGATGTTCTTGCGTTTATTCGCCACGATCAGTGCGCCATTTCGTGCTATATGGAAAGCGCGTTGCAGTATTTCTTCCGAGAATTTTTTGAAAATCTCAAAAGCTTGTGCCGTATAGGAGGTCTTGTCGAGCGCCGAACATAACGAACTGTGCAGCACGTTAATGGCAAGCATTGTCAGCGCATCCTGTTCGTCGCTGGGATCAATATATTTCATAAGCTTCTCTTCCGTTGTCGCCATACGCTTCACGTACCGACGCTCGAACTCCTCGATGCTGTCGGGTATCGTGAAGCGTGGTCGCAAAGCGGTTATTGTCTCTTTACCTTTAGTGTTGTGCACCAACTGATGTAGGAAATGCAAAATGTTTATGAAATGCACCGCCAAAGCATCGCAGTACTCTTCACGCACCGCATAGACACTTTTCAGTTGTTGCAGAAAATGTTCACCATAGCGCTCTTGAATTTCTATATTCGTCTGCAGCATGTGCACCCAAGTGGGCACCTCTGGTATATGTCGTCCTTTCTTCACGATATACTGCATACGACGATGGCACGCCTGTGTAGTCTTGTTGCGTATGCCTAGGTTATGTCTGATGACGTCACGACAAATTTTACCGACCACAATGAGTCCGAGTACCGGCACCGGCGCCGCTATGTATATATAAACGGCGCGTGCTAATTTCAACAAATCATCCTCATCCTTGCCCCAGCTGGCGCGCAGCGTGCGCATGTTTTTCAGTGCGTCACGATCGATGGCATCGCGCATGGAGGCCGACTTCTTTTTGGCACTACGTTTGATTGCCACCGAATGTGGCAGGCGCTTCACGTGCGCGCCATGCCCGCCGTGCAAGCGTGTCTTGCGCAAGCCCATGAGGCGCAAGTGTTTAATGCTGGCGTTGCGCAGTAACGGTATACGACCGGTGCGTGTTTGCAACGGCTTCACATTCGTGCGCAAAATCCACGACCAACTGCGCAATGCATGCGCAAACAGATGCGCCGCAAAACCGGCAGCGCCTGCGCGATCGCCGGGCACTTCACCGTTATCGTAGTGTGGTGCATCGTCAAAGCTTACAGCGGGTAGAAAGTGCAAGTCTCTACGACTTTGAGACTTCTCATTATGCTTGGCACTCAGCAGACCGAGTTTGGTGTACACACAAATACGATGCACATGCGTCCAGTACATGGTAATGTCCTCGAATGTGGCAAAATGAAAATTCAACTCTTCATATTTGCGCTCCGTATTAACGGTGGCATAGCTCGCCTCCGAAGGTGTTGTATCGAGTATTTGTGTACGCCGATTTAGATATACCCAAATCATCATTGTATCTTTGAAATTTTGACTCTCCCCCACTTGTATTAGACCCATGTGATTTAATAGCTTCAGCACCATCGTGCAAATGCGTTGCAAGTAGATGCGATTTATTTGATTTTGCAATTCGATTGGCAACTGTCGTATAAGATAGTGCTGGCGTATGGGATGGGTCAAATAATCGTCGAGCACATTGCCACCGCTTGGCTGGAAACGAAATATTTTGTTGAATATTGAAAGTGGCATTCGGTCAATGGCGTCCAGAAAGTTCACCCAACCAGCTGGCTTGTCGGCATACTTCGGCAGCGGTGGTATGAATGTGCGCCAGTTAAGCTCCGACATATAGCTCTGCTGCACTTCTACACCAGCATGTAAACTTTGTAAAAACTCGTTCACCTGCAGAGATGGTTCGGTTTCTTTCCATGTGCGCAACAAAGCCTCGTCGATTTCGAGCATCTCTTTTTTTTCGTGCAATTCAACAACTATATAGAAGAGAAATTCGTGCATATAACGGGATATGAGAAATTTCGGTGGCTTAGGCAACTGCTCGGTTGTGGCGTTCGGCGTTGTAGATTTGGTGTCGACGGTTTTTGGCACCTTTCGTGTTTGTTTTGCAGCATGCTTTCGTAACATGCGCAGTTTATTTTGTTTCTTTTGCTCCTCACGCTGTCTTGTTCCTAAGAGCATATTTTTTAAACGCTTTACTTCTCTATCCACCAATTGGTGATCTTGATCAATTTGTGGATGCGCTACGTAATGGTATCTACGTACGTGTTCTTGATATCTTAAACGAATCTCGTATGCTTTCAAATTGTCGGTTTTCTTCATTTCCATGAACATGCGCCGCAAGGATTTGAAGCAAATTTCGTCTTTGAAACCACGCTGTCGTTCCGTTTCCTGTAATTTATTACGTAAAATAACGGTTTGCATAATGGCATGCTCGTTTAGCTGTTGAATTATAAAGTCGCGACGCGATTGTTGTCGGCTGGTAAAGGTTATGCGGAATGGCTTGTCCTTATGTACGTACTCCTCTACAGTTGCTTTGACTTGTGGACAGTCGACGGCCAAAGTTTCTTCCAGCTGTGGTGTGGGCTGCAATTAAGCGAAATGTTAAACACTCAGTTACTGATATAAATGCACTTGACGTACCGGCATACTGTTGAATTTTACCACTTCCACTGGTTTTACAACGCCTTTTTCTTGCGACAATTTTTCCGCATTAATCACTTCCAAAGCAACGAACCTAAAACGTGCAAATTATATACTTGTATATAAGATAGTCAAAAATAATTGATTTGACGGTACTTGTGGATCCTTTGGCGTCCCTCATCAACGATATGCGGTACTATCAAGCCGTCGCGTTGCATCGCTTTGACCATCTGACGCACCACGCAGTGCGATTCGCTGAGATAATTGGAGAGCTCTGTGTGACTGCAACCGCGAGTGCCATGTCGCAAAACAGCACGATAAAATTCCTCCTTCAGCGGCATATCAACAAAAGAATGCTTATTATCCGTGAAAGCGTCTTTGAAACTAATTCCGGTCTCTTTTTCATCCTCCGTAACCTCCTCCTCTATAAGTTCTTCCAATGGTGTTTCAGGGTGGCGCAAAGTAATCGCAAGAACACTAAGCTCTTTACCTTTTCCGCTCTTTCGGCCAGTTAGCACTTTCTATAAAATAAAATGAAATATAATAATACAATGTTGTTGTTGTAACGGCAGAAAACATTCTTGACATAATTTTGAAGAATGCTGCCGAATTGACAGTCTTTTGTGGAATAAAAAGCCGATTCCGTTCCGTTATCCCGACTGTCGTAGGAACGGAATATGTACAAGATCGTTTTACTTACTTTCACCTCAAAGATACGTCGAAAGAACGGAGTCAGTACAAGACGCCGAAATTTGGATTTACGTGCAAATATCGGTACCATGGTACGGAATTCGGTTAACGGTAAGTTTTGTTGTTCCGACTGTTTTACTAGCTCATAAATTTTTTCTATGAGAGTAATGATATTTCGCGGAATTTCTGGCACGTACTGTGGTAAATTAAGTAAGGAAGTAACCACAAGCCGATCACCACGAAATTCATGAAAAGGCTGTTGCGTTATCAAACCAAAATGCGCCAATTTTTGTCTAAAAGTATGTGTGTAATTAATAATTTCTCGTCATCATATATGAGTACTGTATACACTTATTTACTTGATATAAAAGATCACCGAGGAGTCTTTACAAAACTGAAATAGGGAATAAGGACCAGAAGTAGTCTCGCCATTGTAACGTGAACGTCCCACAGCTTCCCAGAAACAATATTGTACCAGGGTTAAGTCTCGCGGAATAGGTTTATTTCTGGGTGTAAGTACGCAAAAGCGCAATTCTTGTGAGGCCACTACCACAAAGCGTTTATCCCACCTGCAATAATTCTTTGCGTTAACAGCAAATTCAAATTCCATACAAATGTTCCACTCACCTTTCCAAAACAGCTTCGGCATCTAAATCGCTTACTTCAGCGGCTGCTATTTTCTTCCGCTCCTTATAGAACTCACACGAACCGCGAATTTCACCATCTTCAATTGGTACATATTTGTACCGCATAAACTTGTTGGGGTCCTGTAATTGCAAGTGATGTGTTATAAGATATTGTACCTATTGAAAATATTGGTAGTACTACCAACCGGCATAATGGGTACCCCGAAATCCGGATCTACATTCGTAAAGCGACTCTCACATTGCACAGTTACTCTCTCTGTTGGTAATTTATAAAAATCTAGCTGATGGCTGTTTTGTTTGATGAAATTCCACACGCGGTTTATCACATCAGATGGCAAAGGTAATTCTACTTCCAAGTCGATACTTAAGTAAGCCCATAGCGCTAAAAAAAACAAATGAATATGACAAAATATGAATTGGAAAAATGTATTTATTAACTTTCATTACATGGCAATGTTATGCCCTCTAAACCTTCCAAAGCAATTTCTTCTAATATAGCTCGGGAAATCGGACAACGTCTGATGGGTCGAGCCATAGTTCATTGAATTTTGTTCTACTCAACGTTGAGAATTTAGACACTACACAAGAGCTACTATTGCGTACTTTGGTAAACAACTTTATTGCTGTTGTGTTATTTTGGTTTTTGTAGTTTACGGAGATATAAATTACACTTTACTACGCTATTGTTTTGTTTAAGAAACTTTAAACATATGTTCACTACAGATGTCCTCAAACTATTTGTAAATGTTAACAGTTTCGTATTTTTATATATTTCTCAATGGATGTGCAATTCTTAGTTTGAGCTTACACACAACAAATTTTGTTGCTCATTGTCGATAACTTTCCGCTTGTTTTTGTCAGAGATATCAAATATAGAGAAGCTTCATGGTGTGCCAATTTTATGAAAAACTAAGCTGGATTTTCATATAATGAAAAATTCTTGTATATACACATATTAATAAAGTTAATAATATTTAAGTTATTATTCTTCTTGTAAGAAGTTTTATTTAATATTTTAAGCCATTGTGAATGGCATTTACAATTTACAGTAATTGCCGGCTGTTTTATGTTTACCTCTTCACAAACGTAAACATTTTAATATTAGCGTTCCTCAATTCGGTTAAAAGAAAATAGGTTACAATCTACAAAAGGAACAAATATTTATTAAAGATTATTTACTACAATAAATATACGCTTATCTAACTAGTGTTTTTTGCACAATTTTAGCTATATAATTTAGACACATCGCGTAAACGTTGTTACAAGAATTAGAAACAGACAACACCAGAAGAATGTCTAAATCGTCTAAACATTCTAAAAAATCGAGCTCTTTTGAAGAGGAAACTAATTTAATACATTTTTCATTTTGCGACCACAAGTCTGTCTTTCGGCATTTGCTGCAAGGCGATGATAAACACTCCGCCCCCATTGTAGAGGATGAGACCGATTTTTGGAAATTTGTCAATAAATATGAAAGTATGTTACGCAGCGTGGGTCAACCAATACTCGGTAATCCTTTATCAGACGCTGACTTGAGTAAACCAGAATCATATCACAAACTCAAATATATACCCTTACAATTGGAACGCGGCAATGACTCCGAACAACTAAGACGTGGATGTTACAATAATGATGAACGAATATTCACAAAACTAAAAGCGCGACAGTTCAAAGAAATTGTGCTCATCTATCTGGATTTTAAGCAAAAGGAAAAATTTACGAAAATCAAGAAATTACGCAAAGCACAAAGATCCCTACCCATCGCAAATTTTAAGCAAAAAATACAAGATGAGCTCAATGAAACACGCGTACTGATTATAGCTGGGGACACCGGTTGCGGAAAGTCTACACAAGTGCCACAGTATTTATATGAATTTGGTTATCGTAGCATAGCGTGTACGCAACCGCGGCGCTTAGCTTGTGTTTCACTCTCTAAACGGGTTGCGCATGAGATGCTTGACGAATATGGCTCAAAAGTTGGATTTCAAATAAGGTTTGAAAAAAATAAAACAAAAAATACAAATATACTCTTCATCACTGAAGGTCTACTGTTAAGACAAGTAAGTATAAATCTTTACATATATATTGTACATAAATATGTAAAATGTAATATTTGAAAATTTGTTTTCTCTAGTTGGCAGTGGAGGCTAATTTAGAGCAGTACGATGTGCTTATATTGGATGAGATACACGAACGTAATCTCTTCGGTGACTTCTTGTTGGGTGTCACCAAATGCTTGTTACATGCCAAGCCAGATTTAAGGCTGATACTTATGTCAGCCACTATAAACGTAGAATTATTTCATAATTACTTTAAAAATGAGGGAGCTGCACTCATTGAGGTGCCAGGCAGATTATATCCGATTAAAACTATCTTCAAGCCACCACCAAGTTTGGAACTGAAAGGCGGAGCAGGCGGCAGCAAAACTGCTAAAAGCACAAATCGCTTAAATCCAGCACCTTACATACAAGTGTTAAGTTTGATTGATCAAAAATACCCAAGTGAGCGAAAAATATTTCTTGTGAGTTAATTAAAACCAAAATATATGTATATATTGTATTTTTAGCAACTGAACGCGGGGATGTCTTAATATTTGTTAGCGGTGTAAACGAAATCACAACAGTTTGCGATGCCGCCAAGGAATATGCTGAGAAAAACTCACATTGGATCATATTACCGTTGCACAGTGGCTTAGCGCTGGCTGATCAAGACAAAGTTAAACTAATATGGAATATTTAAATTTGCATGTATATAACTGTAAATATGTTTCCGCATTAACAGGTATTCGACTACGCACCAGAAGGCATGCGCAAATGTATAGTATCCACAAACATTGCAGAAACTTCACTTACCGTTGATGGAGTACGTTTCGTCATCGATTCTGGGAAAGTGAAGGAAATGAGTTATGATTCGAGTTGTAAAGGTCAACGCTTAAAAGAGTTTTGGGTTTCGAAATCCTCCGCCGAGCAACGTAAAGGTCGTGCTGGACGTACAGGTCCGGGCGTAAGTGTTAAAAAATAATTAAATTATGTTAGTAAGTATTAATGTCTATATTTTGCAGACTTGCTTTCGCCTCTTCTCAGAGAAGCAATATGCTACTTTCGAGGCATATCCAACGCCAGAAATATTCCGTGTTCCTTTGGAAACGATACTTTTGCAAATGATCTCAATGGGTTTGCCCAATGTGCGTTCGTTCCCATTTATTGAGTCGCCCGAAGAAGAATGCATTGAACAAGCCATTTGGTCTCTCAAGCAGCATGTGAGTTTTTATAAACTTTACCCTTATAAACTTTCGACAGTATATTTCTGTATTTTAGAACGCACTTGCCGTGGATGAAAGAATCACACCACTTGGCAAGTCACTCTCCAATTTACCGGTTGAGATTACAATCGGCAAAATGTTGCTTATGGGTTGTGTTTTTCCCGATGTTGAAAAGATATTAACGCTGGCAGCAATCATGAGCGTACAGAATCCGTTCACAAATCGCGCCTATACGGATCGCAAGTGTGAGGTTAGTTGTCGATACATTTCATTAACTATATGCTATTTTTGAAATATATAATATTTCATTTGCATTGCAGCAAGAACGTGAGCCCTTACAGTCTGATCAAGGTGATGTGTTTACCTTATTGCGTGCTTATCATGAGTGGCTACAATTGAAATGGCATAATGAGAACACCAGAAAATGGTGTCATAAACTTGGCATTGAGGAACAACGGTATGTGTTTATGTTAGGGCAAAAAGAATTTATCCGTTTCGAATATGTTAGGTATAGTTTAAATGTACATACATACCATACATATCTCAATAACTATTTGAGAGATCTCAATCAAACTCCGTGAGAAGATTACATTTTATCAGCTGATGGTAAAGAAAAAGGTATACATAGATATATATAAGTGTAAAAACTAACGCCAGAAAAAACACTAAAACAAGAACTAAAACTCTGACTGCGTCAAAGTTATAATACCTTTCACAAATAAAAAGTTTCCATACAATAACTTGATTTTAATCAGTCCGTTTGTATGACAGCTATATGCTATAGTGGTCCGATCACAAAAATACCTTGGGAGATTAGAGCGTTACTTTGAACAATAATCCATGCCAAATTTCGTGAAGATATCTTGTCAAATAAAAAAGTTTTCCATACAAAGACTTGATTTTGATTGATCAGTTTGTATGGCAGCTATAAGCTATAGTAGTCTGATCTGAACCATATGTTTGAAGATTGTAGCGTTGTCTTAGACAATAATATATGCTAAGTTTCTGAAGATATTTTGTCAAATAAAAAGGATTTCCATACAAAGACTTGATTTTTATCGATCAATTTGTATGGTAGCTATATCCTATAATGGTCCGATATCGGTGGTTCCAACAAATAAGCGGCTTTTTATGGAGAAAAGAACTTCTGCAAAATTTCAATTCTTAATCTTAAAAACTAAGACAGACAGACACGGACTAAATCCACTAGCCGTATAAAAATTTTTGTCATTCCCGACTAATACCGATTATTTCATATGCAAAATGTTTTTTCAATAAATGTTTACTCATATCTCCTCATTCACCGCTCGCACCACAGCTTTTATGAAATCACCAAATTGCGCCACCAATTCCAAAATATACTCGAAAGTTGTAACATGACCTGTAAAAATGCGGATGGCGCACCACTGAGCAGCGCTGAACGTGCGCGCCGTCATGGCGAAGTGCGCCAACTGAAAGCGATCAAACGCAAACAGAAATATCAAGAGCCGCGCAAACGCAAAGTGCTCAAACACAGCAGTTACGGTGCAGGCGCTGATGAGTACGATGACGCTGCCGCAGGTGATGACATACGCGATGTGGACTTTCGTCTGCAACACGATGCCGGCAAATTGGAGGTGCTCTTAAACTCCGCCAAAGGCGACAAACTGCGCGATGTGTTGCTGCTCAAGCTAATCATAGTCAGCGGTTTCTATCCGCAAATTGCGATCGCTGACGAGTTCAACTACTGCAAAAGTGGCAGTCAACAATTCTTTCACACGTTTCTAAAGCCCTTCATATCCATACATCCGAACGCGTATTTTGCCAAATATTTTGATGTGCTCAAATTGAACGATAGCGACATATTGGACAAACCGAACTACTACACGCCGAAGCAGTTGCTAAGCACGCGACATCAGGTGTTGTGCTATCAGTAAGTCAACTCACATGTTAACTGAATGCGCTTTTTAATTTTGTATTGCGTCTACGCCCTTAGAAATTTGCTGGAGACCGCAAAACCCTATTTGATGAATTGCATACGAATGCCAGCCGCGCAGACTCTACTGCTGTTCTCCTATTCGGTGGACACCAATGCATCCGTTACACGCATAGTATGTGATTCGTGGCTGTGCCTGGAGTTCCCCGTGCCGGAGACGGGCTGTGAGCTGCTGTGCCGTGCCATTAAGTTGCGTCGTTTGTGGGCCAAACTGTTGTCACAAAAACTGACCGGTAATCATACTCATATACATGCTAACCAACATAACGGTTAGTTAAATGCTTTCAATAATATCTTAACATACGCTAGATTTGGTCAACAATGTGGAGAGCCAAAGTGTTAAGAAGGCGAAACACGCCAAAGATGAAGAGTCCGAACTCTGGGAGTCACTCATCGACTTCATAAGCGCTAATGTGAGCTATACGATAAAACGCTTGCTGCCCGCCGATTTGAAATCGCTTTATACGCACGAAAAACTCAGCAATTTTGAAGCTTTCGACGACGTCAATCCGTTTGCTGCCGACTATGCGGTGAGCCATAACGAAGAGAAAGGTGGCATAAACGTGCTGGAAAATGTGGTTTATGGTTGGTGAGTTGAAGGCAAATTATATAACACAATATAATTAAATATTTCATTGTAATTTAACCGATTATTACACGCTGCACTCTCTAATCTAGTCTTCAAGAAGTGCAATGGACGCTGGCAATGGAGGCGGAAATGCGTCAACACGCATGGCTTTGCAAATTATGCAACACAGAGCTGGCGTTGGACACCATAGAGAAATTGTTGCACAAAACAAGTGAGTAAATAATGAAAATCGTAAAATATTTGCAATATTCATTTTCACATTCAATATGTAATGCTTGCAGCTTGCCGCGCCACCAGTATATCCACAACAGCTAAAAGCGAAACCGCTTCACCAACGCTGCCCAGCACATCAGCGTCAGGCAAGCGTAGCGCTTACTGCTGCGAGTTTTGCCAAAAGGAGTTGAGAAATATGAGTAAAATTGACATTTTAAAACACAAAAAATATTGCAATAAAACTGATGCGGCGAAATGAAATACAAATAATACAAAAAACTAACGAAAATGTTAACTTTGACTACACCCTAGCTATAATATCGTTCACAGCTACATAACTTATAGCATGAATGGATCTTGACTTTACTTAATCAGCTTGTATGACAGCTATATGCTGTAGTGGTCCGATCTGAATAATATATTCAGATATATATTATATATATATTCAAGATATTTAATTGGCTTGAAGAATAATCTATGCCAAATTTCGGGAAGATATTTTATCATATAAAAAATGTTCCATACAAAGACTTGATTTTGATCGATCACTGAGAGAATGAGAAGTTCTTGCGAGGAAAAAAACGTTTGCAAAATTGCAGATCGATATCGCATTAACTGAGTGATTAGCGCGCACATATGCAGAAAAGCAGTCGGACATAGGTGATTGGACTCAGTTCGTCATACGCTGATCACTTGACTATATGCATACATTACAGGGTCTCCAAGGTTTCTTTTGGTATAATAAAACAATACTTGTTATTTTTTTTGTATGCCCAATTTTTGTTGTTTGGTTGTTATTATTAATGTACATAATATGGCCAGCTAATACATATACACATATATATAGTTGTAAGTCTAGGCGCGGCCAGTCGCTTTTTAACACTTAACCGTTAAACTAATTACAATAATTAAAATAATTTACATACATGAAGAAATGTGTGTGTTGTTGTTTTTTTACAAAATATGAGATTGGGCATGGGGGGCATATACATATATGTATATATATATATATTTATGTATACGGTAGCATGAGTAGAGTTTGTATATCGAATAATTAAGCTTACTTGCGGAATTTTTTTTTGCTTTTTTTCTTAAATAGCGCTAGATTTAGATTAATATAAGTATGTGACTTGATTCGGGAAAAAATCAATATGCAGCTAAACATTAAGTTGTTTATTTAAACTTACATATATATATGTAGATGTCTAATAATTTACATTAAAACTTGGTTAGGAAAGCGTAATGAATGGTCAAACAACATGAAATACTCAAAATTTGTCGCTAGTAGTTAGCAATAAAACGTAAAACAATTTTGTGAAATTTGTAAGACTTTAAAAACGCGCTGCATATAATTTTCCTCTTTTTCTTATTTTTCCAAATTTTTTAATTAAAAAAAAATTTTTTTTTGTATTTTTTTTTTTACAAAATCGAATGAATGTGTGCGACAACCATTCGTTCAACAGTAGCTGCCTATAATTTTCACCACAAAGCCAATAGCTCACTGAGCGTTGTCAAAACGTGCACCGATCTTGGGGACGCGCGGTGAACGTTTTCTTTTCGGCTGCTGCAAAGGCAAGAAATTTAGTGAAGTAACATGACAAAAGCGAAAACAAACTGAACTACCTCAGCTTTAGCAGTGCAACCATCATTCTTGACGACACTGGTTGCTCTTGTGCTGGTTTGCTCCGGCAGCTGTTGCTCATTTTTTGGCAGATTTTGCGTGTTCGATGCTTCCGAGTTGATTTGCAATTTGCTCAGCTGCAGGCAGCGTGTGAATATAGTAAATAATATGATATAAAATAAAAAGTATTATTAACTTACGTTTTGCTGCAGCGCCTGCGCGTTGGACTTCTTTGTGTTTATTGGTGCGCCTTTAACGCCACTCACAGCGCGCTGACACTCCTGCTGTTGCGGTGATGACGGGAAGTGCGTTGGTGCCTGCTGATGGGCGTTGCCACGCAAAACCTGTAGCGGTATGAAAAAGCTGCGCGCATGTCCCATGCTCTCAACTGGCGAGTTATGTTGCGGCTTTTCATTAATCGGATGGATCAGCTAAAGAAAGTGTGGGGAAAAAGACGAAAAAATATAAATGTCCGGCGCTGTGCAAATAGAACAGCAAGCAGTTTACTTGAAAGGGCAGGGCGTGTGGCGTGTGCTGCTGCATTGGGAACGTCGTTGTGTGTAGCAACTTTGGTGGATAGTAGCCGCCCATGTTGTTGTAATGTGTTGGCGGTGGTGGCAATGGCTGGCCAGGCAGCCTATTGGCGCCGCCATAAGGTAGCAATGCATTCGGCTGTGGCGCCAATTGTGGTGGTAGTGGTGGTTGTTGTTGTTGTAGTGGAAAAATGGGCTGCGATGGCCGGTTGGGCGTTTGATAATGTTGCCGCCAATTTGGTGGCTGTTGTGCTTGCTGCGCATCGCTGCGCCAACCAGCCGGCGGTTGAGGTAACTGCTTCTTCGACGGTTGTTGGTCTTTTTGGTTCACTTGTGGCTGCATAGTTGCTTGGTTCAAACCGACACCGAGTAAGCTCTTCAACGCTTGCGTGCCAGCTTGGCAATCGCTCGTGTCGCTTACATGCGCATTTTTCGGTACGGCAATTGTTCGGTTGCCGAGTAGTAACTTTTGCATTAGCTGTTCTTGTGGATTCTCCGATTTCACCGTTTCATTCGAACTTGTATGTTCGCTCTTTGTCGTCGAATCAACTATTTTGCTTTGGATTCTTCCGTTACTTTGCTCCACATTGGCCAGCGGCAATTCTTTCGCCACCGCGTGTTTCACTTTGGTTTCCGCCGCTGGTATCCAGAAGTCATCGGGGTCAATTGCAGCGCCACCACCTGAACGTTTATATGTGTTTTGGGCTGGCAACAATGCCTTTGGCGGCGCTGCTTTTTGTTGCAGTATGCTTATCTTCGCATTATTACTGCTGCTGGGCTCATTGGAACAGCTCGGCTCATTTGGTTCACTCGTCTGTTGTGGCGGCGGCGGCGGCGGCTGCTGCTGCTGTTGTTGTTGTTGCGTTTGTGCAAAGCCATTGTGATTGCTCTGGTTTGGCAACTGATTCGGCTTCGTATCCTGCATTTCGTTTTGCTTATTATCTATCACAATGGCAGAGGCAAGAAAACATAAAAGAAAGGATATAAAATATATAGAAAAACCGAGCCGCAAAATAGCTAAAACTCGCTTACCTTGTGCGAAAATGAGCAACAATGCCGAATCCGATACCCGGTAAACACGCTCCTCGGCAATACCGTACACATCATTGCCGCTCGGCAGATGCTTATCGAAGAGTATCTCATAGAATATGTCTACGGACTTCACACATTCCATGCGCACGGGATTCGGATCGGTTATCGGATATACGCCGATAACGGTACCCTTCGAACCTAGTGGCACCATGTAGGTGGTCTTCACTACCACCACACGATCGAATAATTTCACAGGTCGCTTTGGCTTGTAGATATTTGCCAGCGTTACGTCGGGTTTAAGCAACAAATGGGGCTTCACTTGCAGCTTTACAGTCTTCACGGGTAAAGTCTTAACAAAAGAAAAAAAAAAAATTAGCAAGAAATTGAAAAGTAAACACGACAGTAAGATTGTGCTAAGCAGTGCAGATTCTATCTAAAAATATTTTAGTCAAGCTGCTGCGTATTAATGAAAGACTTCATAATAATTTTTACAACAATAATGTTACAGACTGCACTGTTGATAACGCAGCATAGAAATGCTGCTAAATACCTTTAATTGTTCGATAGCGTCCAGCACGCTCTCAACAGCTTCCTTCTCCATTGTTTGTGAGCCACATAAACGTCTATCTGCCTTTACATGATCTTGGCTCTTTAGCCACGTGATAATTTCATCTAATTTATGCTCGCCAACTTCGTCGGGAAAGAGATCTTCTTCAAAGCAGAATTCATTGCGTTCCGAGGAACGACTTAAATAATCAAAAACCATTGGATAGTTTATATAATACTCTTGTATTAGCGTTATGGCTTTCGATGAATAGTACCATTGATTGTTTATGCGGCGGCAATAGCCGGCGCGCTCTTCTTGCTGCAAAGAAAAGTCCATAAAATTAAAATCATACGAAATTGTGAACTTACTACTACTACTACTACACACACACACACACCTGTTTGGGAAATTTGAACTGCAAGCCAATATTGACTTTAGAGACATTTTCCGGCAATTCCTTACGGCGAGCGCCCGCCACCACGAAAACCGTGCCAGTCACACGGCCAAGCACACGCATTTGCAAACTAACTGTGGCGCCGGCTTGGAAGGAATTCACGTAGTCACGTTCCAATTTGTGTTGCAATAAGCGGGCGACCGTGAAATCCGGCTCCGGTAGTACAGTTATATTTACTGAAATTAAATTTTTTAAAAAAGAATTAATGAAAAATGAAGTACAATATAAAAGCGCAGTTATACCTTTCAAACGGCCACATTCGTATACTAGCAAAGGATTTAGCACAGTGCCTTCGCTGCCAAAGTATGGACTGCCTAAGAAAAACACTATACTGTCCTTAGGAAATAGGTGCTCCACCTTTTTGGGCTGTACCACCACACTTTTTTGCACAGCGATTTCTGCAACTACAGCCTGTGTAAAAATAATGGTGTTATCAACTCAATATTTAATATATTGTCATTCAAATTATATTTCAAACTGACCTGCGCAGGATAGGCGGTCACCGAATAGCCCCAAGCATCGCTGACAATGATCTTGGCTTGATTGCCACAAACGCAAGTGGTGCCTATGTGTACGCGCACATGCACCAACACCGAAAAGTCATCCAGTTCTATGCCCATGCGTGTGCTGAGGCTAGAGCAAGAAAAATAAATATGAGAGTTAATCATATTAGGAACAGGAAATAATTGGGAACACACAAGCACACAATTTATGCACTTACTGTTCCTGTGCTGTCTTCATGTGTATTTGAAATAACTTCGGTTCCATGTCTTTTATGCCTTCGGCATCAATGTATTTTTCCTTGTTGGATATGCCAACTACTTTGGATTTTATTAAATGCGGCCAGCCAGTATAAACGATTTGATTCAAATACTTTTCAGCAACGGTATAAATATCATCTAAGCCTTTGCGTATATGCGGCTTCAGTATTAGATTTTCGCTACGACTTGGTTGTTCGAAAACGCGCACGTGCGCAAATTTCAACTCGAACTACGTTAGAAATGGTATTAATGGCAAATATATAAATTAAAATAAAGAGTAGTAAATAAATTCCACATACGTCGTATTTTAGATGTTTCATCGTTGGGAAGCCAGGGAAGAAGACCTCACGCGCGGCATTCGGCAGCTCCACACATACGCTTTTGTCGGACGGCACAGCGATCTCTTTAGACCAAATCTGCTGTTCGGTGCAAAACACACTATATAACGGTCTTAACGAGAATATACCTGGCGCGCTACCCTGTGATTCTGGATGGTAATCGTACTGTTGCATTGGACCATGACGATTTCGTTTCACTTCGGCTGGCGTGAGATTCTTTTCGCAAGCTTTCATTGCGTCTAGCAAACGTTTCTGTGAATATGCATATATAATTATAACATATAATTTTATGATTTGTGTACGCTGTTTACTTCATCAATAAATGGTATTAGGACGACCGCTTCCCATTCGTGTCTTTTGCCATTTAAATCGGTTTCGAAGTCTTTTGGATAAAATTCGAGCAACTCGCTGCTGGTGCTGGTCATTAGTTCACGGTATGCTGCCGGCAACAACTCTTTGCTAGCGGCTGGTAGTACAGCCAAGAGCTTTCAATAAAGTGCAGTTAAATTTTTTAATTTGTATTTTCTCATTTGTATGATTAATTACCTGTTCGAATGGCAGGAACGGTTCACCCAAATTTAACTTAATTTTATAATCTTTGAAGTTTGTCAAGTCACTGATAAATGGTGCGTAGTGATGGGGATAATACCAATCCCATGATTGCACACCTCTGTAGTAATAGTCCAAAATCCACTGTAATGCCGTAATGTAACAGATAGCTTGCTCACGCTTCGATTCACTATAATTTGTGAAATATATTATATATGTTTGTATCATTGGCACCAGCTTTGTCATGTGTTTACCAATTCATATCGTTTTGTTTCAATTTATTCATATAATAATTGCGCTTATAAGTCTCAAACTCTTCTGCCAAGTGTTGCTCTTCATCGGACAAATCTTCATTGTCATCTTGTAAGAACTGTAAGCAATTGCCGTTATTAGAAAATAGCGTTTACAATTGCTTGGTGTGCCACTATGCTCACCTGTCTGCTGCTCTCTATTAAATCAGCGAGATCAGCGTCATGATTATGCATTGTTATCTCATTTACATCAAAATCGAATGCTTCATCAATGCCATTTTTAGTTTGTTTGGCTTCGAAATATTTCAAATCTGCGTGATTTTCCTGAAATATATCGTATTCGACATTCGAAAGTTCGGCGAAATATTTTTCCAAACGCTCCAAATTTAATTTTCCCTTCACATTTATGTTACCTTAAAATAGTATAATTAATTGTTATTGTTTCACAAGGCAAATGCAAATAAATGACCAATCTATTACCTCCAAGCGTTGGGTAAACTTTGATGTAGGTTTTATATAATAAAGGCAACGCATTTGAAGAGATATGCATACACGGCAAATGCGGTATAAAATCATTGCCAACAAGGAACCCCATCAGTACCCAGTCATCGATAAGATTTGATATGTTAAAATTGTCATCATTTCTCTTTAATTCATCAAATTCCAGTTCTAGATATTCACGTAACAATCCTAAATGTAGTAGGAAAAAGCGTGTCTCCTCAACGGAAGCTTGCTTTGTCTTTCGTCCGAATTTCACTTCTTCGCGCAATACTACGAAATGTGGCTCATGCGTACATTGTCCCAAAATAATTAAATCTGCATCCAATCCATAGAGGCAGTGGCGCGTATTCGGATCATAGTCTTTTTGTGATTTGAGGTATCTAATATAATCCATTATTTTATGTTCCCCCTCGCCTGGTGCCTAAAACGTGCATATACATTTAAATATACACACATAGATTTTAAATATAACTGGACCTACATCATGTCCACTCAGTATAACACGGCACTTTTGCCATAATGGATCTGAACTGATTTTACTCTTAACGAAATAGCGCAGTGCTTCTTGTAGGCGCACCATAAATTCTGTGCCAGGCGTGATGCAGTTGCTATCAAAGCGTTCAGTTGTACGCACTTCACCGCGACTTTTGGCCCTTGCTTCTAATAGCTCAGCATCTTTGGCAGAGCGAAAACGCCGACTGCGCTGTTGATTCATTTTAGCGCGAGGAGCTACGCCGTCAACGGCCATAAAAAATAGTTTTTGTGGCTTAATTAGAAAGAATAACTTATCGATGTAATTAAAAATGTCTTTAAACATGTTTTCCTCTGTTATAGTAAAGTGAAAGTTACTGTCATCAGGATGTGAACATGTATGTATAATTCCGTTCATATCTAGATAAAGATTATCAAAATCCGGAATCTGGAGGAGAAAACCACAAAAACCAATTATTTGAATAATTGCTTTAAAACACTGTAAATTTAACACTTACACTTTGTTCTCTCGCCAACTCACTTAGGCAAGGGTAACGTTCGCTGATGTAGCGGAAAAATTTTGGTACTCCCATATTAACAGTTTTTTTCTACCGGTCACAGTCACAGCCCACAAACTATATAAAAAATAAGATTTTTAAATTGTACAATTTTAAAACATTCAATTATATATATTTTTTTTCATAACAGTATAAACACCAATCTTATCGGTGTCCTTCAATTATTCTGCATCCAATAAGATTTGCAATCTGTTAGTTTGTTGTTGTGCTTCTTGAAAATACTTCCACGCGCTAACAATAAAAAAACATACCAAATTATGGAATTATACAAATCTAATTCCTAGTAACATTCACTGTTTATTGAATACTAATAATTGCGAAATTTATGCAATGTATCCTAATTTAATCACTATAAAAATAATTGAACTAAGACCAACTTTTTTGCACCATTTGTTGCAATGAAAAGCAAATAAAAACGAAAAATTTGGCAATTTATTCAATTTAAAGTCCCGTTCGATTTAGAAGAATACACAGTGTCGCATTTCCTAACGGTGGTTGCAAGGTGATGCCAGAGAATGTAAATGATATATATTACTGGTAATGCCTTCACCTTAATTTTTTTTCAGTAGAGCATTAAAAATATAAGAAAAACTATTATTCAAATTATGCCAAGAAACTTGCTAAAAGTAATAAAAGCCAATCAATTAGACTCTAAATAAATATATATTTAATGAATAGCACACAATTATCATATAGGTTGTATATAAATTTAAATATTAGACTCCGAAAGTGTGGGATTTATGTCGAAAACGGATTGTAAAAATTAGATAAAAAATTTAGACTATCAAATATATTAATAAAAAATATTTATATATACCATAAATATACAAATTTTGCATTTACGTTTAGAGAACTTTATATATTAAGTATTAAATGCGGCTGCATAAAAAATTCCAACACTGCTTCTAGGGCAATGCACGAAGTATACCGTGAACTCGTCATCCACAAGTGTGGATTTCAAATTCGGAATGTCAAATAGTATTGCTGCTTTTTCGCTGTCTGCGTATTTTTTCCAGTAATTAATTAGTAAAAAAGTACTTGTAAACAATAAGAAGAATATTTTTTATTAATTTTAGAGAATAAGTTAAACAATTGGTATACGATCTGTGTTATGTGTGGAGAAGAAAATTAAAAACGTCACTACTTTTAGCTAAAAAACATGCTCCGACGCGAGCAACGCCTTCGGTGAACAGCAGCGGAGGAGCAGCGCCCAAGCCCCACTGTTAACCCAACCCAAAAGAAAAAATTCTTGAAACTTCGTCGGGGTATTAAAATGCTGTGTATTGATGCAAATTAATACTATAGAAAAAACAATAAGAGTGCATGAAAACAATTATTCTTGAAATATAAAGTGATACGGCAACAAAGCAAATAAATAAATTTAGCACTTATCGAATTTATAAAACACATACACACACAACAACAAAATGGACGCAGATAAGAATAGTCATGAAACAAAAGTCATCTATCACATTGATGACGAGACTACCCCTTATTTGGTGAAAATTCCCATACCCTCGGCGCAGGTTACACTAAAGGACTTCAAAATGGTGCTCAATAAACAAAATAACAACTACAAATATTTCTTTAAATCTATGGATGCGGATTTTGGTGTCGTAAAAGAGGAAATTGCTGATGATTCCACTATATTGCCTTGTTTCAATGGGCGAGTGGTTTCTTGGTTGGTTTCAGCTGACGGTACAAATCAGTCTGATAACTGCTCAGAGTTGCCAGTAAGCGAATGTGAGGTGCGTCCAAATATGCGTGGTGCTCAACAACAGAAAATCGGTGGCGGAGGAGGAGTTGTCGGTGGAATGATGGGTGTAGGCATGTCTTCTATGGGAGTTGGTGGTGGCGGAGGTGGAGGCATGGGTGTAGGTTTAGCGAATACTGGCGTTATAACAAATCCGATGATGCAACATACTCTTACATATCAATCTGCTTCAGTGCTCTCAAGTGATTTGGATTCGACCAGCCTGTTTGGCACTGAATCTGAAATAACACTTGATCGTGACATGACCGACTATAGCAGCGTTCAAAGGCTGCAGGTGCGTAAAAAACCACAAAGGCGTAAAAAACGTGCTCCAAGTATGTCACGCACATCCAGTTATTCATCGATAACTGATTCGACAATGTCGTTGAATATCATCACCGTATCCATAAACATGGAGGCGGTTAATTTCCTGGGCATTTCGATTGTGGGCCAATCAAATCGTGGCGGCGATGGCGGAATTTATGTAGGCAGCATAATGAAAGGCGGCGCTGTAGCGTTAGATGGTCGCATTGAACCAGGCGATATGATACTTCAAGTAAACGAAGTAAACTTTGAAAACATGACCAATGATGAGGCTGTGCGTGTGCTGCGTGAGGTTGTACAGAAGCCTGGTCCCATCAAATTGGTTGTAGCTAAATGCTGGGATCCAAATCCAAAAGGCTACTTTACCATACCCCGAACTGAGCCGGTTCGTCCAATCGATCCGGGCGCATGGGTGGCACATACTCAGGCATTGACTGCACATGATAGTATTATTCCCGATATACCAGAACCGATTAAAGAGCGATTGGATCAAAATAATTTAGAGGAAATTGTAAAAGCCATGACAAAACCTGATAGTGGTTTAGAAATCAGAGATCGAATGTGGCTGAAAATAACCATACCGAAGGCATTCATTGGTGCCGATGCCGTTAATTGGGTATTGGAAAATGTTGAAGATGTGCAGGATCGCCGCGAAGCACGTCGTATTGTGTCGGCAATGCTACGTAACAACTATATTAAACATACCGTTAACAAGCTGACATTCTCTGAGCAGTGCTATTATGTAGTTAATGAAGATCGTAATACACATTGCCGTTCAAATATCAGTCATGCCGATACGGAAAGTATTACAAGCGACATTGGACCACTGCCGAATCCTCCAATCTATATGCCATACTCAGCCACCTATAATCCCAGTCACGGTTATCAGCCCATACAATATGGATTAACAGAGCGACACATCTCTTCCGGTTCGAGTAGTTCGGATGTGTTGACGAGCAAGGATATATCAGCATCGCAAAGCGACATTACATCGGTTATACACCAGACCAACCAAATGACCATCGCACATGGCTCAAATAAATCTTCCGGTTCGTCGAATCGTGGCAACGAACAGGATGCGTCGGTTTTTAATTACGTACTGTAGAAATTGCAATGAAATTGTGTTTATTCTTTTTATATACAAGTACATACACACATAATTATACATAAATACATTACATGCATACATACATAATTTTGGATAAAATTTGGAGAATTTAGTAACCACAATGATAATAAAAATGATTAAATACAACATAACGATAACCATAAAGTAAATAAAATAATAAATATATATATTTTTGACTTATTATTTAATATTTCTAATGGTTTGTAGAATTGAGGGAATATTTTAGATATAGCTACCAAAGTGGATATTGCAAAATAAACGATCAATGGGTTAATTTAAAGTGACGACCACTTATACATATGTACATATTCAAGTTACATTCAATTAAAAGTTTATGGTACTTTTTTAAAAAACAAAGGTAAAGAATCTCAGCTTTTCTTTGTCTAATTTCGTATACGTATGTAAGTATAAATATTTCAATCGTAGGAATATGCAAATTATAATTTTTTGTATTTTTTCTAGGCTCTGTTAAAAAACGTATTGTAATTTCTTTACACTGAGCATTGCAGGCAAGCTGCTGGTTTTACGATATGGAGTTGTAAACTGTAGACGCAGGATCAATGCCCTTGAACAACCGAATGGGGATCACAACGCCTCAATAGTAACCAGCAGGATCCGGGAATTTATCAAATTGCTGGGCCTATGTGAATAGGGGAGTGCATAAGAGACCTTATGCTGCAGTGCAAGCCTCAATTTATTTTTATCTTCTTCTTTTCTTTATCTACAACAAATAGGGCGAATATGAAAATCATTGCAACTTCAAATCTTTTAAATACTAAAAACAAAAAATAGCTATGTTGTCGGGAACTATATTCTTCTTTATGACGTCAAAATTCTTACAGTAAATAACTGCAACAACAGGCCATAACCGCCAATCACAGAAGAGCAATTAGCAGCTTCCTCACCTCCCTTGCAGCGAATAGCATTTTGGCAGTAATACCACCAACTATTGCAGATGAGGAGTTCGAGTTATCTCAGGAAACGAAAGTGACCTGTACATGTTCTGTATATTATTGCAACTTTTCCTAAGGGATCTTGTCGAAACAGCTAGTTTTTTTATTTACCGATTCAAACAGGACTAGAACTACGAAAAAACAGACCTTGGCCAGATCAAATTCGTCGCATATCCGTTCGCGTAGAACCGTTTGTCGTGGGAATTGTAGTGACTTCTATGACAAACAAGGTTTAGATATTCCACTACAACAACAAACTGCACGCTTTCTGTGATCGACTTACATGACCAGCAAGATGCATTTTCTAAATTACCACGACGACATTTTTGTGCTAATAATAGGTATATCAGTCACAGTAAGACTATCTCTCTCCAATTGAATGCGTTAAAACAATTTCTAAGAAAATTTCGTAAAACAATTATAATCCTTTCACAATTGCGTTTTGGTTATAATAGCAGGTCAAACTACCACCCCTTCCGACGCTGAACCCCGTCAAACCAAATGTATTTATTTAACACTCCCTTTTTTAGGATCCAACAGCAACGAAATAGTATAATTTCTAGTCCTACCGTTAGATGACACCGCTGACAACTCGTAATTTTCAGCAATAAACTGGGGTAAGGTAGTCGCTACAATAACAATCCTGGAGACATATATTTGTCATTTCAAATAAAAAATATCCGTAGCATACTTTCTGGCACTAAGCGATCGTTAAAAAATATACTGAAATTCAATTACATAGAAATTGAAGTATTTGTATTAGAATTTTCAAAAAATCAATTGCTTTTTTTTACCAATTCCTTCGGTGTAATATCTTGAAAATATTCTCTGAAAATTTCAAATGGATCCGATAAACTATGTTTTTTGAACTGGTGACAACTGTAACTCGAAAACTGCTCAGTAGATTTTAATGAAATTTTAACAGATTTTAGAATACATAATAAACTCGGGCCTGATCGAAGTATCGAAGACCAATTAACTGTTGATTTTTTCCCAAAAATCTAGAAAAAATTTCCTGAGGCAGCCATTTCGTTAATTTTTGAAAAAACAAAAAACGCTTCGATCAGGCTCAGGATTATCTATTCATAAAACTAATTTTTTTATCCGATTGATTTTAGATGAATCTCCAAGAACTTATGATTGTTACCGCAAGGACCTTTTTTTTGGAGCTGGGTCAACACAGACAGCTATAACTTTGGAAACTAAAATTTTTATTTGCAAATTTTCGTGACTTCAAGTCAAAATAACATGATTTAATAGCAAAAAAAAATTACTGAAAATTCTAATATTTTTGTGCCTCTGACTACCCCTAACCCCTTAGGAAATAAACTTATTAAAATTTTGAGTAACTTCTTTTGTATTTTTCGTTTCGTTTAAATTTATCTGGCATGTTATACCTGGTGAAAATAATATTTAGTAAATTCACAGATGACAAATGCACTTCAGTTCGTGTATATTATATAATTAGTGAAAATTATCACCATGAGAAATATTTGCAGAGAAAAGGAAACTGTGGACTATTTTCAACAAAGTATTAATCACATTAATTAATAGAGAATTTATATCTATAAAAAAATAGAGCTCGGTTTTGGTTGGTTAAATATTGCTATTAACTTCTCTTCTCCTTTGTAGAGCTACTGAATAAAAACACCACAATTATACGTACATTGTTTTTTTGTTTTTTAATTTCCGGTACAGAGTCTAGAACCTTTTTTTGATTCGGTGAAATAACCGCATTAATATTGTCCATGATGCCTCAGCGAGAACTTCCGTTATTCAGAACGCTGTGATCTTTCGAGAAGATAAAAGTCCAAAGACTTGGTGAGCGCCATTTTAGCAAATTCGAAGCTACTCTTTGACTAGCCACGACCAATGTCGATTGGTTTGTTTGAACCCAACAGAGCTCAAAACCTCGGTTATAACGATTCACCGCCAATTTGTCTCCCAGACTTTACATGTCATCGACCTTTTGATCATCGCTTCGCATCGTCTGTGTATGCGTCAAAAGCGCCTAACTCGCCTCCAATTGGTAGAAAAACTATCCAATGTTATTTTAAGACTTCGTGGTTCTTATGTAACAATATGTCGACTTCATAGACTTAAATATTTATTAAATATTTTAAGGGGTTTTTCTCGCTACAAAGTTATTTAGACTTCGTCGGCTCTGACCCTTATAGAAGCCGATTAGACTATTTTCGATTGAAGCGCCAGCTGTTGCATTGAATTTATCACATCCCAAAGTGTTGACAAATAGACGCTTTACTGCGACTTCGCTTGTGGAATGAGTCAAACGCAGATTTCGTTTCAAGCGTTTGAGCTCAGGTATGTCTCTACTTTACACTTACGATAAATTTGGCATATTGGCATTTCGTATTTATTTATTTGTTGTGCTAACTGATTAACGCCTTCTCATATGGATCTCGCCGAGACATTTGTACGTGCTCACATACACACCGACAGACATAGACGCATGCTGATAATATTTTTAGCCGCTAATAGAGAATTTCTAGTTTGCTGTCATTTCGAGCTGAGCACTGGAGATCACAAGTCGTGACGGGATTATTAATTTATACACACAGTGCCCGAGTGCATATAGAGTTTTATAGAGATTGAAAGAAACTACAGGCAGAACAGTGTAACTGCTGCTGCAGTGGTTGTTTGGGACTTTTTCGAAATGCGTTTTGAAATAAACGAGCTTTTATTGCTGGCGATCGCTTTTGCGCGTCACTGTGCGGGCATGATGCGACCGAGCGACGCGTTGTCGGTAATGGCTGGCGAGGGTTTCACGGCTTACTTAGATTTACCGAAGACCTTTGGTGCGATCGAGAATTGTTGGTTTCAATTTGGAGGTAAATAAAAGTGTGACTAACTATTGTTATATACTGCTATAATTCTCCAGTGCTCTTCATTTATAGCTGAGGAGAAAATTAAGCTTGACTTGAATGCCGCTAATGCCATCATAACGGCGAATGCTGAGGAAGTGTTACCATTCTCCAGTACTGTTTGTGGTATACGTGTTAATAAAGTGTCTTACGCTTCCGCGGATATTTGGAAACTGGAGGTTGAGAATGCGTTTGGGGATTATGAACGCGGCGAATTGAAACTCTCCGTACTCGCAATGCATAAGAAACACTTCAATACTAGCGTACAGTTGGCGATTGGAGAGGGCGCCATTTCCTGCAGTTTGTCCGACACTGCGACAAAGGAATGCAAAATCATCGATCATAAGAAGAATCAGGTTTGGAATTCGTGCAATATTTATACAACCATAAAACCGAATCGAACATTCGATTGTTACACCAAAAATTGGGGCAGTATGACGCAGAGCCATGAACACATAGTTGTTGAGGCTAAAAATAGCAGCCTATATACCACGGCTAGTGTAACGGATGGTGACGACAGCGTTGTAATGCGCTGTCAGTTCAAAAGTGAGCTACGCGGCTGCCAGGCCGAATCGCCAGGTGGCAAGGAAGAGTTGCATCTTATGGAGGGACTGTATAATGGACGTTACTCGGCTCATGATACATTGTGAGTAAAACTATGAATTATATAAATCTTACCATATTTTTGACATGCATCTGTAAGTTTATTCTACGGTTAGGCTACCCAGCTCTGAAATATAATGTGTTGGGTGTATAAGGACTTCTTTTTCCTCAGTCAACATAAAATATTACGGTTTGGATTACATTTGTGGGATTAATATTGTTTGACAAAGATTGACTTATACTAGGAAAAAATTTGATTATTACCAGTTTTATCTCAATCGGTTTTCGAATTATTACCTATTTAATTAGATTAGGATTTTTGAAGAAAAGTGTTGTTCGCTATAACTGTCAGCCCGGTAATGTGGAAAGTCCTTCAGCAGAGCTTAGGTAAATACAATTTCTTAATGATTTAGCTTTCCAGCGCGGACTCCTTCCTTTACAGCTTGATTGTACAAAAGCTCAGATGGACTTTCATAAAGCCTTAAAAGTTTTTGGAGTTCTTCTCGTGCACTCGGAATTCGTTTGAAATCCTGAAAGATATTTACTAGGCATCTGAAACTATTGGAAGTACTGATTTTCCCCTCTTACTATTTTAATTTTCAGATATTCGAAGCAGCGATGTGCCTTGGAAATTCCCAAACCACTCAAGGAAGCTGAGTTGGGCCTATGGCGTATATATAATACGGAAGTAATCCCGCCAACAGGTTGTCTCTTCTACATTGGCAAGTCAAAAGTACAAATTATGGCTGAGGAGCTCAATACTGTGAACGATATAAAACAAGTCAACGCTTACGATACAGACAAAAACATCGAATTGTTTACCTGCGAAGTACCTTTCATTATATACGATTGTTATTTACGCGACCCGAATAATACAGTCTACTTTCCGGATCCCATACGATTTGAGCGCACGCGCACCTATGGGCAGTGTCATTTCAGCAATATGCCGGTAATAGCAGGCAGTTGGATTTGTGGTGCGCGCGGACATGACTATGCCAAAGAAGTGCTGCAGAATTTTGAGGTTAGTTTCACTAGAACTGCAATTACCGCTAAATACTTGCAAGTTTCCCGCGTTTTTAGGTTATAGTTAAGCCAAAAGTCGGTGAGGTACTCACTGAATCGCTGAAGTTGAGGCGCGGCAAGGCGGTAGAGTTGATCTGTCAGAGCGCCTTTGAGGAACCACTGACCCATTGCGCATTCATCGATCCATTGGGACGTGTACACTTGGTGGGCACAGCGCACAGCGTCAAAACCGCAGGGTTGGTACTCTCTAGCTTTCTTTCTATGCGTATTATTTATATTTTTTATTATGTCGAATTACAGTCACGTGAAATACTATGGACGCGGTTTACTTTGGGGTGATTGTGGCGCGCAGATTATGGAAACTAACAGTAATGATTATGGCAAATGGAAATGCCAATTTGTCACATTCGCCGACAAACGCACTTCGATTTTTACTTTGCGACTGCGTGAATCCGGTAGGCGGTTATACAAAAGAAAACTTTAAGGTTTTTTCACACACAAATTCTTATTCTTCTCGGCAATCTCGTCTCTTGTTTTCTCATAGTCATTTTTGGTTCAACTATCGGTCTCGGCGTTGGCATCACAATCATACTTGTACTTTTGTTCGGTTTATTACTTGCAACTGTCGTTTACCGTCGTCGAAATCGCACAGCACAGCATAATTTCACTTCATCCGATCCTCTCGGTGCGAATTCGAGCAACTCTGTGGTAATGACTACGTTGGGAACCTTTGAACGGCCGAATATTGAGAGGTTATAAGGGTTATATTTCCTAAAAACATGTATTAAAAGTAATCTTTTGATCCAATTATGGGTGGGTTTTAACTTAAGCTATAATATATAGTATTACTTAGGATTGTGTTCATTATGATGTATTTTGTATAATTAAAAAAAACTGACTTTTTTTCTAAAAAGAGGGTTTATCTCAAAATATATTATTGACACTTATGGTACAATCTTGGTATTTATGTGACCGTATCTTTTTTCTCTTTATGCTCTTTTTCATGCATGTGTGGTAGCCGTAGTCAGCGGGTTACTGCGAGTTGGCTATTTTAAAAGTGTTTCTCTATAATGTTAGACTTCGATTTTGCCACGGAATTCACCCCAAAGTCAACCGGAAGGGAAGTAGTATTAAAATTAGGGCCTCAAGTTGTTATCTGTGGGTTTGGAACTCGCCAATTAAAAGGCAAAATTCATTAATGACCATATAACCTAAGATGAGGTCTTTCTTGTTTTTAACATCCCCAGATAATGACTTGAAAATATGTGCCGCTAAATCCGGTCACTTTTTGAATTAAAAAGACATAAAAAAACGGATTGAAAAAAAGAAAAATTTCAATCTTAAGCATATAATTAAGAATTAAAAAAAGAATTTGTTTTAGAATTAACATTTTTTCGAGTTCATTCAAATCCCAAACATCTTGGATTAAAATGAAAATTTAATTTTTAATCCCAACAACAAGAAAAAAGAAACTATTCAAATAAGGTAGTGAGGAGCTAAAAAGGCATATGTATTAGTGGCACGGTTCTTTCGAATATACAGAACTTACCTTAATAATTTGGATGTAGATTTCATAAGTCAACTACTTGTCAGATATTCATCAAGCGCTAAGTCTTAAAAATAAAACGAGAAGTTCGGCCAAAAAAAAAAAAATGTTCTTTATGCAACTATGTCTCACAATTGCCAAGAAGTGCTACTTTGGAGCTTACGAGAACACTTAACGAGTAACCTTCTTAGAAAACGGTGACCTTGTATTTTGAAATTAATAAATAAAAAACTTCATTCTACGAAGCGGATCTGTAAAAATGACCACCACCGTTCCGGCTTTATAGAATAAAAGATTTTTTTAACTTTTTTTATTAAAAACTTCATAAATATATTTTTTAATCGTCCAGCTCTAAAACGGTTGTAATTTGTTCGATTGGCGCGTAGGCACACGCAGGATAGGTGGCTGCACAGTTACCGCCTTTTCGGCCAATACGTTCCGCGTGTCCATAATCTTTGTCATTCGGATTGCCGAGCTCATCACGTGAGCGTGAAGGACTGTGGAAAGAAAAAATAAAGTAATTAAAATAGCAAATAGGTGAAGAAGAGAGGGAATTAGTAGTAAAAACACTAATAAAGAATTAAAAAAAAAACCAGAACAAGAAAAAATGTTAGCTCGACTGCATCGAAGTAAAAATACTTTTCACAGGAGTATTTCTTACAGCATAAAGGGTAAAAAAAAGTTTTTGCTTTTCTTGACTTTAATCGTTCAGTTTCTATGGCAGATATATGCTATATTGGTGCGTTATGAAAAATTTGTGCGGAAATTGTAGTATTTTCATAAAAAAATTTTCTTGTAAAAAAAATGTTATAAAATATACATACAAGAATTACTAGCACTGTAAAATTGTCAAATGTTTTAAATAAAATAAAATAGATAAGTCTGAGTAAATTAAAAACAAATCAAATTAACATATATTAGCTTGATTAATGTCGCCCAAACACTCTTACGTCAAAATAATGTGCAATATCTCTCCCAAAATGCCATTATCGTAATGTAACGGTATTGCCGCATGCTCACAAATGCTCCGCAGCATACATTCACGCCCCGCCAGACCCGCTCTGCTTCGACAATAACAAAAGAAGAAGAAAACATAATAAATCGCATAAAAAACAGCTTCAACAAATTGTTTAATAAATGAGCTAAATCAATATAAATAAATAGTTTCACACGCACCTATTCATCAAGATTTCCATGGCTCTGTAGATGAGCCAACGATAGGCCGCAGCCGTTTGCTGTTTGCTCTGCCAATTAGTGTGGAAACTGGCACTTTGCCGCTTGCCGGTCTTCTGCGCATGCGTAATTGTATTATTGTGATAATCATCATTCCCAAAGCTACGTCTGTTTACAGATTGTGGCTTCAAATACGTTGGGCGCCATTCGTCCGCCGTTTCGGGTAGAAAATATTCTGCTTTTAGTACATAACCAGAGGTAACCGATTCATAAGTTAGATCTTCAACGGGTATACCAATGCCGCCAATAAACTAGATCGTAATTATGGTGAGAATAACGGTATAAAAGGAATAATCATGTGCGTATGTGCACATACATATTTGTTAGCTTAAAGAGCGTAAGTGTAAAATTATTTTTATGATTTTCGAGCGCAATTCTACAATTTACTACAAATTAGACATTTTAGTTTAGATTGATGGTGAGTGCTTATTAGACATATTAATTATTATTTGTATGTGCAATGTATTATCAGCTTAGTTTAGGTGCAATACCCATTTAAGGACTTCATGAGGTTATGCTTATACGTAATAAGGTTATGTTTGTTGGTTTAAAGTTATTTAAAAGAAAATTCAGCAATATTGAGGTTAATTTTTTAAAGAAAGTAGTAGAAGCAGCGAAATATATTTAATGACTTAGTATTAGCTTAAGTTTATGATTAGCTTCGTTCTCGGAAAATTTCATCTTCACTCTAAAGAGATATAAAAAGATCCAACTACTTGAGTATAAGACAAACGACTGGCTGTTTGCTCGTTATCGTCAGTAACAAATCTTTAAAATAAGACATAATAAAAACTAGTAATTAAGCGCTTCGACCAGATTTACGGAAAGTATATTTTTGAATAGTTATGAAAACTGTGATAAATTTGCATCAGTTGGGCTTCGAACAGCTTCAGCATCCAACAGCATTTTGCTCCACTTCTCAGATCCTCGAAGCACATATGGCAGGAATTTTGCTAGAATAAGGACGTAATGCCGTACTTGTCTATTTTGAAAGAAATGACATATTGTACAAACAAAAAAAACAAATTACAGAAACAAGTAGGTCTCTGTAATCATTGTATGGTCTTCGATGGCAAATATTTTGGACAATAAACTTTTCAGCCTGTCACTTAAGTGAACTTAGATATTGGACCATGTATAGAGGTAAATTATTAGAAATATAATCTCTAATAACTCGCCCTTCCACAAAGCAAATGAACAGCCAGATGCGTCTAGACTTGTAATCGTGAAATTGGATGATCACTGCTAACAGCTGTTCTCTCATCCACACATTTTTTCCATGTCGCCCACTATATTCCACTCTTTTCGTTAATGAGAGCGGCAGAGTGGTGTACTCTTGTATACTGTTTTATACTCTTTAAGCTCTAAAAAGGATGTAGAACATATTTTTTTTTCACTTATTTGGACCATAACAAATTTTAAGTTAACAGTTTGTTAGTTTCAAGTTTTTGTTATTTTTGTGTTTAGTGCGGAAGTTGGAGGTTATTTATGGTATTTAGTACAAAAAAAAAACAGCTCACTGGGTTTTCACGGTTGAAATGATGTGCATGTACATTTTGTAATCTTTTTAATAGCTTTTGCCACATTTTCACTTGTTATATTTATTATTTTTTAACATTTTCATATTAGTTTGTTTAGTCGCATATATAGTTAGTATAGTTTAATTGGTTTTGTTGTTTAAAAAACATTTTTCACTGTGTGTATTCAAAGTTTCTCAGTTCCTTACTTGTAGACGAGTTGGCGCTGTGGGGGGATATATCAGTGTCCTAGCCTGTCTATGTTTTCTTACGTTAAATACATGCGTTGAAATCACATAATCAAAACACAGCAAAAATGGGCAGAGTGCCATGAAAACCGTTCTCAATGCCATCTTTTTGATGAGAGACCACGAATCGCAACGTTTTCGAATTTATATTCACGATATGCTTCGTTGACGACGAGCCATTAACTGATCTAAAACTGTCAGTTCAAATGGAATTGGTGCTTACGAGAGTGACAGCTCGCACTTAGCTGTGAAGAAATGTTCTGACTGGAAGATTTCTTTGTATATAATATATACAAATATACATATATGTATGTAAAGGAAAATGTTTGTGTGGGCTCATATAACGATTTAAATCTCATGAGCACCCAAGTGAAAGGTGTTACTTCAAATGTATTTACGTACTTATTTATTTAATGAGCGCAGAAGTAATGATTAATTCATGCGTTTAAGTGTAAATCTGTTTATAACGAATTATTAAAAGGGTTCTCTGTGCTTACCAATGATTTTTACATAGTTGAGAACAAATATTTGTGCACTTACAGGCCAAGAGTTTCTCAGACACGAGTTAAGTAATAATAACGGTATTTGATAAAAAGCTAAACACTGTTATAAGTGAACAATTTAAATAGGTCACACCGGTGATTTTATGCGCTTTTATCAATGGTATTCGAGGGCTTTTTAAGAGATTGACTCAAGTTAATGCGCCAGTTTCGAAAGCATTTTAACGAAGATGAACTTAAAAACCTTCCATTATATATTTGCTTAGCCTGAGAGTAAAATTTGTTGATTATAAAAAAAGAAAATTTTTGGAAAAAAAATATTTTTTAACACTCACTTTTTAAGTAAATTTCGAGTTAAAATTTTTATTTCGTAAAATTTTTTTAATAAGTGTTCTAGGAGCTGTGGAGAGTCCTCTTTGTAGCCAATTATTGGAGCTGGTGATTTTTGGAGTTTTAAAAAAAAGTCTTAAACGATTACATGCTTTCCTTAAGCGTTAAAATAAATTTTGAGTCAAAAGCCGTCAAATTCCGTAATTTTTATATAAATGTGAAATGTTAAACCAAAAAAAAAATTTTTTTTGTCCAAAAAAAATTTTAACTCCAAATTTACTTTAAAAGTGAATGAGCCGCTTCTAGATGTTAAAAAAAAAAAATTTTCCCAAAAATTTTCTGTTTTTATTATCAAAAAATTTTACCCTCAGGCTAAGCAAAAAAAATAGTTTTTTTTTTCGCTCCACCCTAGTGTATATCAAACTTATTTCAATTTAAGAACCATTCAAAATGCAGTATTTGACAGTTTTGTGTGGTTTTGTACACTTAACGGTTTTTTTTAACACCTAAAAACTATAGTTATAATATTGATAATTTCAAAAATTAGACAATCTGTGTGGCTAGGAGTACTTCTAGAGCTATTTGTTTTTGATATAGTTTCGCCATAATCGGGTTACAACCACGCCTACTTCGCCCATAGGCATTTTCAAGCCATTGGATTCTTTTACTTAACAATAATACGAACATTAACGAAATTATTGCAACAAAGTTTAAAAAAAACCACAGCGGCTCTACCTTAGACAAGTGGCAACACTCATTTCAAAATGCGCGAAGTTGATTAATATTGTATTTGTTGTAACATATATAATATAACCGTATAGTATGAGCAACTCTGTGCCTCCTGCTGTTGTTTTTTATATATACGTACCTATATTGGTAGATTTGGGCCAATTAAGCTTTGACTCTCGATTAATACTCTCCATTAAGCAAACTGTTGCTCTTTAAGCTTTTTAAAAATGAAAAAAATCCGAAGTCTTAAGCGGCAACGGCATGTGTGTTATGCAAATCTTGCTACACTTCCTACCGCTTGTTGCATTATGGCAAACATATGAGGGGATGTAGCTTAATGTAGAGCAGCTTCGTTAGGTTACAGCTTTTTACTACTCTCACGAAGTGTATTACTTGGATATGTGGTCGAATATACGCTTGTGGCTGCTCTGTAGGGATATTCATAGAAAATGAAAAATTCTTTAGCTAATTTTGAGTTGTTGTTAAGCGATCAATAACGAAAACGTGGAAAACAAGCTTGAAGAGCGAAGCGAGTCGGCGTTTCAAGAGAGATGAAACCCGAGTTTTAAGAGGTATAGTATAATGTAGTGTTAGTTTGAGTTGATTATATCAGGAAATCTTTAAATCCTATCCCTGATGGGTAGTAGAATGTAATCTATTTTATAAAACTTTTATTTAGGGTAAGTTGGAGCAGCGAAAGTTAGCGAAGCACAATGTTCGTTTCTCTAAAACAATAAATTTAGTATTCCCAAATTAGATCTTCGATCCAATAATTTTTTTGTGAGTTATTATACTCCTTAGAATATAGTGAAGGTTCAAAGTTCTTCTAAAATGCGTGATCACTATCATTTGTCATAAAAAATAGTTTATAATTAATGATAAATTATATAAAGATTTAAGATTTTTTCGAGTCATAAAAGATACTTTTCCTACAAGGTCTTCTCTACAAGCAACAAACACATACACACATATGTGTAAATATTTAAAGGCACTTTGTCGTGGCGTTCGCTTGTTGACTGTCTTAAATCTGATGCATGAGGCATGCAACATGTGCATTATGTGCCACAGCGGCATCCGGCGCAACTAAACTTGCTCCTCCTCAACAAAGGACGAAATCTTGATTCAATTGCGTTTACTTGCTCCGAAACCTTGTTTGCGTGTGTGTGCTTGTATGCCTTTGGAGGCGAGTATGATGGTGTGCATGTGGCAACTGTTAAGCAGATAATATACTGACTCACCATGGCGCTTGACTCGCTTAGCTGCCACAATGTTCACATCACTTCCGTTTCATTTCGCTTCGGCTTAGGCGGTGCAACACAAACGCTTTGGGATTATGCGAACAGAGTGCAGCTAATAAAATATGCTAAGTTTACACATTTTCTTAGCATCTCATAAAAAAATTATTGCAAGGGATGTGAGTGCATACATACATACAAACCAACATATGCCGTTGTTTATGTATTTGCGAGCAGCTTTCCTCGTACATCAAGAAAGTTAGTCAGTAAGTTGAATGTGTGGTGTTCCGATGAGTAAATCGTATGACAGAAATTAGAAGAGAAGAAAGAAATGATATTGAGAAAAAAAGAATGCGCACATTTAATTAAACCGAATCTTTCTGCCATTATTTTTTACAGATAAGGCAAAGTCAAGTGGCTTAGAGTTACCCTCGGCAAAATGATGTATGTATTTAAAGTTCCTTCTGGAAAAAATAATTTTCAGAGCAATTCGTGCTTTCCAAGCACTTTATATATTTTTGGTAAATTTCGATCAGACAAATATGGGCAAAATGACTCTTTTATCTTGATATTAGGCATGCCGAAGGGTCTATGTTGATCCAGGTAAGTATGGACAGAAGTTCGAAACACTTTCTGTGTTTTTGATTTAGCATGGCGCGAGATGCTTCTTCGCTCTGCAAATTGGTTGATTTCAGACACATACTTAGTATAATTCTTCTCCTACAGGCTATTAACCGAATCTGATGTTATTATTGTCCGTGGTTCTACTCTATATGTCAGGACGTCCACAGTGAAAAATGGTTAATTTGCCGTTCCTTTGGTCGATAGTTTATTTCTCACTTGGCGGATACTATGAACGGTCTCAAAGCTGTAGCCTCGTTTAATTTCAAATGGACTCTCGAGCACCTGCACAACAGGCTGTAGACGCAGGATCAAGGCCTTGGAGCTATGTGTCGGTTCAGGGATCACGTCGCCTCAATAGCACCCATAAGCATACTGAAATTTATCAGTGTGCTGGGCCTATGTGATTCGTTTAAACAAGGGAAGGCACAATAGACCTTAGCTCATGGTGCATGCCTCAATTTATTTCTACTACACTAAATACGCTCTTTGTTATTTTCCTATTTACTTCAAAGCGGAAGTGACCACTAAGAAGGTTAATAAGAATTAATTAATACGATAAAGGTTAAGCTAGTTAATGACCCGGTATTAGAAAATTAATTATATATTAATTTGAAATAATTGCTTCCGCCCACACCCAACAACTTGCCAAGGCATAAATCTCAGCGCACCGTCAAACGATGTCAGAATATCATGACCGAGTCAGCATTTCACTTTATTCCAAAGATATTGACCGTTCGTCGCTGCTGTTGTTGTTGCTTTAGCATTCGCTGCCATTGTTTTTAGTGATTTTGTCGCTTTTGTTGTCTTTGTCTGCCGTCGGCGATTGTGCAACGCTTAAATGTTCTCATTATCGCATTGGCGTTAACGACGGTAATGACAGTGATGGTTACGCCGGCTCAGCTCAGCTCGTTCGCACTTGTTTCGACTCCATCCAGTCAGCAATTGCTCGCCGCTTCGACTTCTCTTACGTCGCATGCCCTGCTGTGGCATGTGTCGCATATAGCTTGGGGCATTGAATGGAATTTGAAAGTTGATGCCAGCTACCAGCGCGGTGGTACTTTACGTCAGCAAGGCGGCGGAGCAAAAGTCATCTTTAGCGCCATTTTTTACATGTGCTGCAGTGTCATGCGTGAGAGAAGTGTATGAGTGTGTGTGCGTGCGAAGTGAGCGGCGTCAGTTGCCGATACTGTGCCACGCGCTTTTGCATAATTTGCGCAATTTTGCATAAAGCATGAATGCAAAGTGCATATCACCAGCCAGCAGCCAGCTCCAGTGCCGTAGAGCCGCCTGCCCTTGCACTGCAGCTTTGTTGCAGTTGTGGCGACGTCACATAATGAAGGACTACCAGTCACCCATTTGTCACACGCGCACATCCACACTTACACACACACACTTACTCACACATATATCCACTTAAAGTCTGCATTCTTAATCCTTGCACTTTGGCTCCTCCGCTTGCGGCTGGCCACACACACGTACATACCCTTTGCGTTGTGGTTTCGCACAACTCGACACTTGCGCTCGTGCGGACGGCCGTTCGCTTGCCGGTCCATCCCAACGCTTCTGTTTATGTGCTAAATAGTAGCCTGTTGTAGTTTGCTGGAAAATGCAAGTGGTTGCATTACAGTCCTTGACTGCAAAGCTTGCCCCTATTGAATAGATGATAAAGGGTTTTAGTTGCTATTAAGCGCACTGTGGGGTGATTTATGGTAGGTAGTATGTAAAGTTAAACGTCTATTTCATATAAGGTTCCGAAAGTTCTGCCCCGAATAATACGTTTACACAAGATTCCGGGAACAGTTTTTCACAGTGTACTTTTGGGAT